ACAATAAAGTGAACTATTTCAAAAATCGAACTTTAGGAAAATGAAGCCGTGGGTAATCAACCCTTACAGTAAATGTCATAACCAAAAATTAGAGGGTAAATATACTCATTGAATTTTCGAAAATATCTAATTGGATGATTAGTATCTTTGATAAAAGAAATATTTAGTCGTTATCATCACTGATAACTTTAAAAATATAACGACTAAACATCCGAAAACCAAAGTCGAATACAAGTACTTCGATTAAATTATTTGGCAGTATTTATTTTCTTTTCCAAAAATATTTAACTATTATGAACATAAATACGGTAAATCAGTCAGTCAGCCAGTAACAACGTAGAACTTCGTACGTACGTACATCAGTTCGAGTTGCGACACCACATTAGCATAGAGATGCAGTGGTCGATTCAAATCCCGTAGTGGTAGAGGTAGTAAGAGTATAAGCAGTAATCAGGAAAATTAGTGTTTGGAGATGTTATTTAAAGAGTATAATACGGTGAAATAAATTTAAGAAGAGAAAAAAGAGACAAGGAGGAATAAGGAGATTAGAATTTGGGAGAACACAAAGAGTGGATGCACCTGCGCCATTGCAAACGATTTTGCGCCATGTCATTCAGCGTCTCTAACCATCGGTTGCTATCATCTCGCGGTCCCCAACCAGGTAGTCCACACCTACCAACATGACTCAGTTCACTTGTCTGTGACTTCATGGACTTGTGCCATGTTTTGGTCTGGCCGCCCCTAGCTTTCTTCCAACCTACTCCTATACCACTGAACATTGCACGTCGGGGCAGTCGGTCGTTGGGTATACGTAACACATGTCCCAGCCATCTCAGTCGATGAAGATTCACAAGCTGATCAACAGATTTACCATCATTCCCTAATACCCTGCGTCTAACCTGACTATTACTTACCCGGTGATCCCAGCAGACGTAAATTAAAACACAACGAACTGCCGAACTCCCAGCAGTAGGCCTACGATGAAATCGAACAGAAATGGAGATGGTGAACAGCTTGCCAGGCACCACTTGAAGTTGCAAAATCGCTTGACAGTTCGCCGTAAGCTCTCACTCTACCAGCTGTGTTCGAGTAGAGAGCCTGTATAAGGTTAATGTACTTCTTTGGTACTCCTTTCAGTGACAAGCACTGCCATAGAACCTCACGATCAACAGAGTCGAATGCTGCTTTAAGGTCGAGAAATACTACAATTGTGGGGCGTCTGAACGTATGTCTGTGTTCTAGAACCTGACGCAGTGTGAATATCTGGTCTATACAATATATTAGTCAAACTGATTCCGCTGTGATTGCCACAAAAGAACTTTTGTCCTTTATTATAGACTGGCACAATCAGTGATTGAGACCAGTCAGATGGGATTGCGTCCAGTTCCCAAATTCTACCTAAGACCTCAGTTAATCTCACTGCTAATACTGGACCACCATCCTTAAAAATCTCAGGAGTAAACCTGTCAGGGTCTGCTGCTCTCCCTCGCTTCAGATTTCCTATGGCTTTTTCAACTTCGTAAAGAGACGGAGGACCTACATTAACTTGCCATTCAGGTTGACTGGAGATCGTGGGAAACCGAAGTGTGGCTGAAGGCCAGTTGAACTGATCCCTGAAGTGTTCTGTCCATCGATCCAATCTCCTGGATTGAGAATGTATAATATGTCTAGCTTTTTCTGAGATTGTTTCGCTAACATACGGGTTCCTAATACCGGTTTCCTTAACAAGTCCGAACAGTTGTCTGACGTTACCTATTGCCGCTGCCTTTTCCATCTCTCTTGCTTTCGCTACCCACCACTGTTCACGATCATTGCGTAGACTTCTTGTCAGCTTGCGCTTAAGCTGACTCCACTCTTCATTATGTTCAGAGCCAGGTGGAATGAGTTTCCGAGCATCTATCAGTCCAGTAAGACGCAGACAGATACGCGCTCGTACTAGAGCATGAACTGAATCTAAGCATGTGCTCCAGAATGAGCGACAGTCTTTTATCGAGCCCCTCCATCGGTGACTGGTAGCGATGTGATCTATTTGGGTCCAACGCTGGGACGAATTAGGGGGTCGCCATGTTAAAAGATATTTTTCCTTATGCCTAAAGTTAGTATTTGCAAGAAAGAGGCGGTTATCTGAGCATAGCTGCAACAGACGGTCGCCATTATTTGTTCTTTGAGCTACGATGCTATAAGATCCACCCAGGTGTCTTTCCCTATCGCTTAGTTTTTCTACTTGAGCATTAAAGTCACCGGCCATTATTACTACATCCGAACGCCTAGCTTTAAGGAGGAGGTCGGAGAGCTTTCTGTAAAACTCATTTTTTACATCATCTGCGCTGCAGTGAGTGGGAGAATAGACAGAGACGACGAAGAGGCAACGACGAGTGTCCCTATTTTTCTGAGTTCTTATTGTTCCGTTTAGTCGGACAGCGCACAAACGACTGTCTTCTGGGATCCAGTCTAAGAGATCTAGTTCTGCCCTAGGACTCAATGCTATACCTACGCCGGCGAGTCCATGAGAAGCAGCATCTGGGCTTCCAGATACACGAAGTGTGAATCGAGTTGGTTCTTTGTTTAGACATGGTGATGTCAAATGAATGACGCTACTCGGATCCTGTATGCGCATTTCGGAGACGCAGCACATATCGATGGTGCGAGATTCTAAAGTCCGAGCTAAGGAAGCCTGTTGTCCTATTTGGCACAATGTTCGGACGTTAAAAGCTCCTACATGTAGTTTAGAGCGTGGTTTCAGGAGACGAGGAATAACGTTCCACGTACTCGAATCGTTTGCCCTAGCGGTGCGGGGTGAAAAAAAGACGTGAGAAGAGTTACTCGGGGAGATAAGAGTGGTATTAGAAGGTGTAGGAAGGATTTGAATGTGACCAGCTTGGTCTTGTGTGCTGTTACGGGTATGAGGGCTGGTGTCACTTCCCGGCTGCCCACACCGTGGAAGGGTATTTCTTGGGGAACCTGAAAAGGAATTCGGATTAATGTCGGCCTTAACGGCCTGGGAGCGTGACTGCAGAGCCCAGGGGACAACTGCTTGAGGCCGGCCGCGCACGGCCTTTTCGTGGAAGGTTTCTGACGTGTTAGCTCCGTTCTTCAAAGGGCCTTACCGCCGTAGAAGGAAGTCCGTGAGGTAAGGTGAGGTGTGGCATTTTTAGGGTCGACCTTTTCTAACCCCTTCCTTCCTTGTGAGAAGGCAACATCGCTGTAGATGCTGGTTGTCCGAAGGAAACACCTTACTGCTGTCACACCCCTCTACAGTCAGCAGTACAACTTCGCCCTCAGACCTTGAGTTGCTGCTGCTTAGTCTTACCGTTCTCCAATTGACCTGGCTGGTATAGTAGAACCTACAGGAACATATGTTCCAGCCAGTATAGCTCGGTTGGGTCATCACGATAGGCAAGCCCGACCACCGCGTCAAGGTAGCAGCTACGGTCGGGAATTATTAATGAACGAGTATACTGCGCGGCAGTTCGTTCTGTTCTACTTTACAACTGTGAAACGTGGCCATTAAGGGTAGAAGATACTCGTAAGCTCCTAGTATTAGACCACAGATGCCTCAGAAATATTGCCCGCATCTTTTGAGATCGTCAGATAAGTAATAATGAGGTTAGGTAATGATTAGTAAATCAGTTGGTGTTTGTAATTCTCCATCGACTGAGATTTTAAGGCAACGTATTACGCATACCCCACCACTGTGTGCAATGCTGACTAGTGTTGGAGATGGATGGAAGAAATTGACACTTGAGGAGGAAGCCGAAAAAGGATCACCGGGTAAGTAATAGTGAGTTTAGACGCAGGGTATTAAGGAATGATTGTAAATCACTTGATGAGTTTGTAAATTTTCATCGACTGAGATGGTTGGGCCACGTGTTACGTATGCCTGAACACTGATTACCACGACGCGCAATGCTGACCTGTGTTGAGGATGGCTGGAAGAAAGTTAGGGATGACCAGACGGAAACACAGCATCGCTGCTTGAAGTCATCAACTTCCGGTTTGAGCCATGTTGGTGGACGCAGTCTACTTGGTTGGGGTCCGCCTGACTATCGTAATCAGTGGTTGGAGACTCTGGGTGACATGGCACAGAATCGATCACAATGGTGTAGGTGTATACACTCTGTCTTCATATCTTTCTACGAACTAATTCTTCTTGACTATGTCTTTATATGTAATATTTCTTTAAATATTACCACCATTGAAATAACTACTTCTATGAATCCGATGTTCACCTTGTTGTGCTAATGTCGTGTAGCAACTTGTGTGTGCATGATCCTACGTTGTAGCTGACTGACTCCCACCGTAGGCTGTTGCTGATGTTATCCGATCAACGGACATTGAGTATCTTGCGTAGACAATCGACTTAGACTCAATCTATGAATCTTTTTAGAAGAAATCAATCAACCATAAAGCCAGTGGTGGACTAACAAAGACATTCAGCATAAATCCTAATGCAAATACAAGCAAAACCTACAAATATAGTCATAAACAAGCCATTGGAATGATCTAACAGAACACTTGTGAAATAACTAAAAATCTCACTATTATGAATGAAGTCCTAAAGATACCCATTATCCTCAATTAAATCATCTACCTCAGAGAACTGAACACCAGTGATGTTGAGAGTTTTTAGTTAGACAACCAGACTGTTGTTTTTATGCTTGAGCCATTATTTCAATATCGTCTTTGATGACTTCATGACAATAAATCTAATACTTTGGTCTTATGCTAGCTAGCAACACTGGAAAAATTAATAGTCTTTACTATGTAGAAAGTATTGGCTGTAAAGTCTTAGGATAACATTGGTGACTATATACAGTCTTGATATTTTGGTCCTCTTCTAACTAGTATGTTCACAATACTTAGCTACTAAATTTAAGTGTACTGCCAAACAGTATCTAATTATATGTTTATATGCCTCGTCTGATTTCATAGTACTAACAAATTATTTTATTTCACAGTTCTAATTCACTTGAAGTGTTTATGCATTATTATTATTTTAGCTTGATACCCAAATAGCTTTTGGGGAAGACCCCACAAAAACAAAAATGGATGTATGGAATATATATGCTAGGTGAGTTCCGACGGATTCATACCTGCGTATACGCAAATCTATTGATCGCAATATTTTTCTTGTTTAATTCTACTCCTTTTGCATGAACTCATGATTCTTGCTTATGACTGTAGGAGCAATATTAAACACCCTTTCTTCACAAACATATGCTCCAAATGTCTTGTTGTCTCTAACCCAACTCTCGTGTAAATCGAGTTGGAACAACAATTTTTACTTTTCGTTAGATGATCCGTGAAATGTTCAATTTGTAATGTCAGGTGTTGGTTTGCTAGATAAACCAGGTACAAAGTCCATCAGATCGGCCTGTTCGTGTCGCTCACCCATGTTCAAAGCCAACTACACATTATTGTGTTTGGTTGCTGAATCGAATCACTGTTATTATGTTGCTCGCCTACCTGTTTTATATCCATCTAATGACAACCGTGCTTATTCGCTTATTGATTTTCCATTTTATGACTACCAACATGTCAGCTGCTTGTGACATCTAAAACATCGTAACTTGGTCAATAATCCGATCTTTCGTACCCTAAAGTTGATCGAGTTATCATTTATAAGCTTATGGATTTGATGATTGTGTTTATTAAGCTTCGTTATTTTGAATTCTGTAGGTTTAAAAAAACGGTTCTAAATGGTATTATTTATATAATATATACTGTAATAATGTAAGTTAGCATAATATAATGTATTTATTGTGGGTGTATACTAAAGGTGGGTAAAATAATATGAGCGGATCGAACATGTGTAGATAGATATGGTCATTAGCTAAGTATAGGGTTTGAGTCATACTTTCGTGTCTGATACCGCCTAGTTTCCGAAACCAACGTTAGATAAAACAGAATTCAAACCGGGAAGCCATTAGGTGACACTTAAATCATTTAGCCTCTTAAGCTACCTTCCTATTTGTGCATTGAACCCCATCTACGAAGCTTGTAATTTCTCTTTGAACTTTTCCTCTCTTGGTCAAGCTGACAAAGGATATTGCATCAAAACCAATGGAGTGCAACAAGACTGGGCAGGTGGGTGTAGCACTTGTTCTTACCAAATGATTCTTTGTGCCTAGTCTTACGCGCGACCCTCGGCTGCGATAGTTACGAATTATGAAAGCTTACCATTGAAACCCTAGATAATCGAATGATAACTCACTCAACTAGTTTGTTGAGGTCAGGTTAATAACCTCCGTGTCAATGGAAAACAATGGTTTTGAAACTAAGTGTTTAACTACCATAGTCTCACATAATATTTGTCATGAAGTGCGATTGACAAGATCCCCGAATCGTAGTTCGCAGAACTGTTTTAAAAGACTTCGGAATATCTTTACATTCGGCTGAATTATTAATCCAATCCTCAAATGTGATAGAAACCCACTACCAGTTTCATCTGAATCATCGATTACTGTCGTCCTGTACAAGCTCTGTGCTCAAATTAAAAACGGAGATAGGTTCGTTTGTGGTTTAATTTGACTTATAGTATTCTTAATACTATTATATGATTTCCTCTCTTTTACTTTTCTCACCACATACCTTTGTATCACAGTATCTATCGAAACACTCAGCTATATTTTACCTCACGACCGTTAAGGGTAAGTGATGTGTAAGCTACTGATACCTAAATACAATTTCCCTCTAAATGTCGCTAATGTGACCAATGAGTACAGAATATTATTAGGAGGGTGGACCTACGTCTGCGCTAAACAAAGTGACAGTTATAAATTACATTACTAACCTTAATAGCTGATGCTAACTTCAGTAGAATTAGATTAGGAAAATACATGAGTCGCTGTACATAGATTTGACCAACCTATAAAATCACTGGCTGTTCTTTCAATGTCTAACCAAGTCAATAGAAATGAACCATTAAATTACATGATAAGACTTTTTATAGCAAAACAAATATGGTTTAACTATAGGGTTACTTTAATCAAATTGGTTTACGAAAATAACAAAGTCTAAACACTACTGAAAGAAAAGTTGCTAGCTCCCATTAAAATATATTTATCCAGAGGACAAATATTTATTGCGTAAAAACACATATTCTCTTATTTTTCTACTTTCAGCATCCCTTTCGAAGAAAACTTTCTAATGTATGGATTTTGCGAAACCCTACATATTTCTTTACTTCAAGATGTTCAAAGGGGTATGGGATATAACGATTTAAGTGCACCAGTAAATCATGATATACGTGAAAAAGTTATAACAGCGTGCTTAAAGTTTTTCAACGTATGTGATTGGAAATCACTCAATTTCTCAAACAAACAACATATTCTAAGCTTATTGGACTCAATCATACACGAGTACAAGCTGCGCTCGAAAAGTGAGACTGATGACATTGATTCTTATTTCACTGATATGCTACTTAAAGCTCAAAAGTTCAGGAATATGTTGGAGCCTTATGAATCGCCGAAAACTGACCTGTGATTCCCTAACGAGCTTCTGTAACACAACAGTTGCATGCGATGTACATACTTGCTTTGATATTACATATTTTCGTTTTGAAGTTCCCTGTATTTCGAAACTTAAATCCATTTTCCATTTAAGTACATTTCTGATACTTGTAAAACGTTAGGGTAATTATTTGGAAAATATTCCACTCACAACTTTCCTACCCTTATGCTTTCTGTATAACTTTTCAAATACGAATAGTTATTAGGTTATCCCAAATAAGTGCAGTAAACTTGATATGATCGTTGAGTTGGATTTACTGAAGAAGCCATGCACGTCGCAAGATAACGGTAACGAGATAGGTTTATTACCCATCGTGTTCATAAATACTATTAAAATATTAGTTTTGTGACAGCTACACCGGTACAAGAGTTAGAAAAAAATTCCATACTCTTCGGAAATTTGTACAAAGCAATCAGGTACTTAAAAAAACTAGAATTACGCATACTTGAATAGTGTTCCTTACTTTACCATGTTTTTTGGTTTCCATACCAAGGAAGACATTGCACTGGTTCGTAATTGACTTATTCTCAACAGACTAACTTTTATCTCTGGTATAATTCTCAAATAGGTCAACATGATCTATTTATTCGACCAGCCATTATCAACGCTGAAGCTGGTATGAACTTGCATCTATTTGGTAGATTCTACAGTTATTTCTCGAAATGGATATACTTGGTAAACATTTTCTAAGTGGATAACCATTCCAAATAACAACAATCAAACAATTTTCTTCCACCATATGTCAGTACTGCTACAAAGTCTTTGCTCTTCGATAAACGTATTTTTGCAGATGATTCTGCGAGCCGATTTGCCGCAGGCTTACTCTCCACTTCACTATATATGATTTCGGCAACCAGAAAGTGTAGCTAACCCTTAGTCAAGTACACAACTGTTTGGTGAGAAAGCTACACTACCTAATGATTATTACTACTCCCACTCTTGATGTAGCCTTACTTCCGTTACACACGGGTCTCCAGTCCTGGAATTCAACATAGCCAAGAATGGCAGGAGCTGATCCTTTGTCTAATGTTCATTTCACATCGCCAAAGAATGGCAAGTAACAGCTCAGGAACAATTGAAATGTATACGTAGATGATAACAGCGAAAATAGTGGTGACAAGCGATCGCATTCATCTTAAGATTATATATATATATATATATATATATATATATATATAGAGAGAGAGAGAGAGAGAGAGAGAGTTACTCAAAATATGAATTGCTAAGATTTTGTTAGAGCGGTCTTTCTTTAAATTGAGTTCTATCGGGATATAACCCTCGTTTCCAGGAAGTGCATAGACCTTAACATGTATTTATCTAAAAAGCAACATCTAAGGCGTTTCTTAATAAGTACATCTTGATAATTTCTAAGTAGATACAATAGTACCGCGGATAAGCAATATGTAACATACTTTATTATGATATATATTTTTTACTAGAAACCAAGATTCATTCAAATTCATTGTACAAGTCTAAATGCTACAATTTAAGTTGAGATAGTTAATGGGAATCCTGACAAATTAGCTTTATAACAAGATAAACTACATAAGGAGCGGCCTGTTTTAGCACATTCATAGCGCCTAGCACAACCGCAACCCATGTCGCATAGACGTGACTTAGGTATTTCAGGAGCTTCGACTTTTTGTATGCAAACATTTGTGTGCATATAAATATCCTTGTCACTATTATTATCTGTCTCAGGTAAACAGATGACTGTTTGTGTTGATAAACGAGATGAAGATACAAAGCGGATGTATCCTGGTTTGGGATTATATGATTGAACATTTGGCAAACTAGCAGACATGTTATTATCAGACAATTTCGTATTTTCATAAGCATTGTCCACAAAATCGGTATTCATGCAATTACCTTCACTGGGTCGTAATGAAGCATGTGTGTCATTGAGATACTCCTTTTCAACTAAATCTCCCTCATACTTTAAAACACCAAACTGTGAACGCGTTTGAGATGAGATCTGATCACAGTGTGCCAAACCATTATTCCGAAGACCTCGACCTCGACCACGTCGCCCAATAACATTTGCATTAATCTAAAAAAGAAAATCCATACTTCGGTTAATTCGTCCGAAATGTCTTATGCCCAAGTATCACTATTTAACCGTGAAAACAAAATTAACATAACACACCTGCAGAAACTCACTACTATGATACGTATGGTTTGAGGATATGTGATAATAAGTAGTATATCTTGATAACTTCTAGTTAGTTTATTATATACTTTTAGTGTGGATCAGAATAACCGGAACGCCCCTGAGAAGCAAATGTCACAAACTGGATCTAATAATCAGTAGACTACACAAGTCGTTCAAGTGCAGAAGCTTACCCATGCACTCGAAATGAACCATAGGTTACTGTGAAAAAAAGTAAAATTTGCATCCATTCCGTTAGTTTCGGTGACTGACATTTTGGACCTTGTGCATACGGTAACTTACCTTGAGCAAACGTTCCACTGTTTGGAGCTTTTCCATTTCCGCTTTGTGCTTAGCTGATTCTCTGCGGTGAGCTATTCTTTTTTGCCGGACGGCAATTTGTTCCGGTGTTAAAGTTGGAGTTGGTTTAGTTGAATTCAAGCATTCTAGACTAATTAGTCTGGAATGAGCTGTAGACTGCTTCATGTTCTTAATACCAGTTGGAACAGCAGTTTTCTGTGATTGTAAACTTATCTGTCGTGCAGTTAACAACTTTGGAGGTTTATATTCCATTTCATCATCTTCAGAATTGTTGCCAGAGCTAGCCCCGGCCTTCAAATTGTCACTGGTATTAGAACACTGGTCATCTTCAAGAGCAAGGTTTATGTATTTCTTACGTCCGCTAGTTGTTGCAAGCAACCGCTCATCGAGAAACGAAACCTTTTGTTCAGCAATGGGGCGAAATTGATGTAGAAACGCAGAAAAAGCATCACTCTGAAAGACAAACATTGGCCAAAAATCATTCTAAAAAGTGAACTGGATAGTAATGTTAAGTAAACATTGGTTGATTAGCAACTTTTATTTTTATCTTTGGTTCACACCCTTTAAGTTATTTTATTATAGCTGACCATTTTGTAAACCAATAATAGCTTAAATTATCTACTATATGAAAATCGTAGCACTGCTTGTATCCGGGATGATTAGTAGGTCCAGAGTTCACCTAACATTTAGAAAATCATTATTCCGACTGTTGCTTTCCGAAACCTGTCTGCGAATTCAATTCATACAACTATCCTGAAACCAAATGTGATTCGTAACTCCATGATGGCCTAACAGCAGAATAATCTTAAACTATGTAAACTATTCATTGATGTTTGCTGTAGAAGACAGTCATATTCAAGAGCATGTTGTAATACTACTCATCCAATAATCACGGAAATACGTTATACAAGAGAGGCGAAACTGATCAACTATATCCTAAACAAAATTTATTTACGTTTCGCTAGGCTAAGTTCACTTAGTTTGATAAACTAAAAAAACGATGTCTTGTAGCATCCACTTAAACTAAAACATCTCGGTTTGTATGGAAAATTACCACAAACTAAAGACCTTTTCCCGGCAGATATTGTGGTGCTCATTAGAAAATTGGATACATCGGTCACATAACAGAAGATGTAGTTTGTGCAGACCAAAGCCTAGTTGTATCCAGAAACAACATTTGGAACAGTTGCTGAATATACAGTACCTGGCGTCCCCTTACGTAACTTTAACCTATACCCAAATGCATCACATTGTTTCCATTTTATACAATTGTCTCTTAATTCAGAAATTTTTTCGAAAGGACTTAATTATAATATTATTCGACTTTTAACTATCTAGCTGTTATTATCAAGTACAGCTATACTCCATCCTCTAAAATTCCATTTGATGTGCTGAACCATCTACATAACTTCATCCTATATGGGACTGTGGCCTTGTAACTAATTTGCATAATGTTAGGGATATTACCAACTTTACTGCATCTTTCGGTTTTCATTAAAAAGTCCTCTTACTCCAGTGGACGTTTCTATTTTTGTCTTGTAAATTCCAAAGTAGCAAGTTATGGATTGTTAGTGCTGATTTCAAGAAGGTAGAGTAATAATAAGTGACTTTGGTGACTGTGTGCATCGAACATACTTGGAGACGTTGTCTGCACGTAGTTCAGACCGAATGAGGGAGTTATATGAGCTGAATAAAGTGCAAATCAATAACAGTGCAGCATGTTATACTGTCACTTCGTGACGGAAGTTATGTTCAGTGGTTAATTTCGGTTTGTAGAAGATCTGGTTATCATATTCCAGTTGGAGACCACTCCTTGTTTTCATACAATGCTTTCATAAACATTATGGAATACTTGTCTTACCAAGCTTCGGAGTTTGCAATAACATACTGATGTACTTGGAAAGTGAACCAAAACATATAATCGGACTGAACTGTACTAATACGACAGTACGTAGGAGATCATCTGTCTTGGATTTTAGTGATAGACAGACACCTTGTCCCAAACCAATTGGTTGGAACGATCGCCCAAACCAATTATCAACTCTTGCTAGGTTACAACTTAATGTTAATTCACTAGAAAGCCCAGGTGAGTATTAATGACATTTAAAAGATGCCATGAAAATTGGTAGCAGCTTTTCTTTACGAACCACTTATTAAAAAAGTGAACCTTTTACCGTCCCTAAAACATTTTAATTTCCGTCGTTCTTATAACGCCACTTATACGCAAAACAAATAAGGTAGGTCATTTAGGAGCAAGATCTCGCATAACTTAAGTGAGAGTTGTAGACTAGCAACTGCGTGTGTCAACTAAGTTTGTTCCAACTCTCGTAAGCTACCAGTAGCAACAAGCCTGGTGTTAATAAAACAATTCGATTCTTTGGGAGGGACGCTTTACGGTCATCTTCAAAGGCATCTGTAAGGCTGGGCGAAATGTTTTGAGGAAATTTAACTTGGTTCATAGCCTCGGGAAATGAAACTAGTCAGAACACGATTTCTGCTTCTTTAACAAGCATTCATTTACACACAAATATAATTTATTTACTTCTGTATTATCAGTCTGCTCGAAAGAGTATTCATCAAATTCTAAGAACCTTGACCCAAAGTCGTCTGTGGCTGGTAAAGTTGAATCTGAATCTGATAAACTATGAGTAATTGTTAAATAAATATGGTACCTGACATAGCTGCGTAACACCGGTGAAGTAACAAGATGGTAGATATTAAATTGCTTCTACAATACAATAACCATCATTGATATCTAACTTACGCGGTTTATAATAATTCTAAATTACTACACTGGTGATTCGCCCAATAATTGGTTTATAAGACTCCTGAAAAAGCAGACGTGATTTCTAAAATCCTAAGTGAAAGGAGGAGAAACAAAAGCCAATGCATTTGAGAAAACTATATATATATATATATATATATATATATATATATATATATATATATATATATATCGAATCCATAAGACTTAAAAAATCCTGGAAAGCCTGTTAGAAGGAACGTAATCCAGCTGTATGGATCATTACCATAAAACTATATATTAAATAATACAACTGTAACATGATATGATATGATATCATGTAAATCATCAAGTCTGTTGGCAGAAGTAGCTACTTCATAGAGTATAGTGTATGAACCAATAAGACTTCGAAGGGAAAACCATTCAAAAGGCTACAAAACGTTCTTGCCTTTTAGCTGGTGTTGAATTTTCATGAGA